GGACATAAAAATAGATTTAAAGTATTTTTAATCAGAACTGTTAGCGGCAGGCAAGACTTCTGGCGACTCTATATTGCAAGAAGCGTTATGTCATTCACTATGGTAACCTGCAGCAATGTACGCGTCAAGGTCTTCGCGTCACAAATATACATCGCGTACTACAATTCGCGCAATCCGCATGGCTCCGCGATTATATTGAACTAAATACGCAATTTAGAACGCTCGCCAAGAACGATTTTGAGAAAAATTTGTATAAATTGATGAGAAGCCTTCAATTGCGCACAGTACAATTGGACACGATGCAATTGCACACAGTGCTGTTGGACACGTAATGTTGCGCACAGTTCTTTTGGGCACAGTTCTTTTGCGCACCGTTCATTTGGACACAGTTCTTTTGCGCACCGTACAATTGGACACCGTTGCTTAACTGTGCGACACTGAACTGTGCGACACTGAACTGTGCGACACTGAACTGTGCGACACTGAACCGTGCGTAAAAGAATTGTCCAATTGAACAAACGCTGATTTAGAAATATTTATTATTTATAAATTAGCAAAATTTCCAAACAGGGCTCTACATGCATACGCGTGTGTCTGTGTGTTTTAAATTATATTTCGATAACCTGTGTCCAAAAGCAACGGTGTCCAATTGTACGGTGCGCAAAAGAACTGTGTCCAAATGAACGGTGCGCAAAAGAATTGTGCGCAAAAGAACTGTGCGCAACATTATGTGTCCAATAGCACTGTGTGCAATTGCATCGTGTCCAATTGTACTGTGCGCAATTGAGCCTCTCCCTAAATTGATGAACAACACGGTATTCGGCAAAACTATGGAAAATGTACGAAATCGCGTCAATGTAAAATTAATAACTATGTGGCCGCCTACGGCAGCCACAGGCGCCGGGCCCCCGGCAACCACGCGGTCGCGCGCACCTGACGCTTAGCACAGGGCGCCCGGCCCCCGACGTAAGCGCCTGGCGCTAGCTCCACGCCGGGCGGCTGCGAGTTCGCGGCGCCGCCGCTACGCGGCGGATTCTCTCGGGAGTGAAATTTAGTGACTACCAGTATATAAGGGAGGAAAATGCGAGCATTTTCACTTCACTTCGGCGCTCAGTCGCCAGCATACCAGCGCGTAGACGCTGTTCCGTGCGCTCTAGACGCACCCAAGCGCTCAGCCGCTCTCCTTAGGACATATAAGCGCTGAGTCGCTCTCCTTCGGACATATAAGCGCTGAGTCGCTCTCCTTCGGACAATAAGCGCTAAGTCGCTCTACTTCAGGCGCCGTAGACGTCCCAAGCGCTTAGTCGCTTCACTCCGTGCGCCTTAGCCGCACAAGCGCTTAGTCGCTTCACCCTGTGCTCTTAACCGCACACAGCGCTGAGTCGCTTCACTACCGTGCGCTCTTAGCCGCATGTACAGGCGCCTACTCGCCGTATACTTTTCAGTTCAGGTACCGAATGACCAAGACGAAACGAGCAGCAGCCACCACAGACACGGCCTACACTTCCCAGGAAGGAACACCCGTCCTTTACTCCAGGTCAACATCCAAGTATTCACGGACCTCGACGACCTCCAAGGATCCCGAAGTCTCCCTCGGCGTCGAGAAATACTTACTCTCCCAAAAACCAATCATATAAATATATATATTAGCTGTACAATACTTCAAGAATAAACCTTCTAATTAATTTGCCATTGGCATTAAAAGAAAAAGAGTCGAAAAATTAATTTCCTCCCTTGCGATCCATTTCCTTGGGCGTTCCTAAAATAGAGTTTAAGCGAAGTAAGCCCCATAACTAAATGGGAAGGACGATACGGCGCGGAGGCAATGATCGCAAAACCAAATTTCCATAGCCGAAGCATCTTTTCGGAAAATCTGATAGCCGTTGAATTGCGCAAACTCGAGGTGAAATTCGACAAGCCGATCTACGTAGGTATGTGCATTCTCGACATATCTAAAGTCTGTTTGTACGAATTTCATCACGAGTACATGTTACCTTTATATCGCGACAGATGTAAAATTATGTACACCGACACAGATAGCCTTATACAATCACATCCAGTGCGAGGACGTGTACGAGACGATGAAACGTGATATTTATAAATTTGACACGAGCGATTATCCGGCAGATAACGCGTACGATATTCCACATGCTAATAAAAAAGTGCCAGGTTTAATGAAGGATGAGAATAATGGTGCGATAATGACGGAATTCGTCGGGCTCAGAGCGAAGATGTACACGTTGAGGGTAGACGGTAAGAAAGATACAAAGAAGGCTAAAGGCGTAAAGAGTAACGTGGTAGCGCGATCGATAACGTTTGACGATTACACGCGGTGTCTCAACGATGAGATAGAAATGACTCGCCAACAGACTTGTATAAGATTGAAGCTGCATGAGGTGTACACTGTAGCCGAAACGAAAATCGCTCTGAGTCCGTGTGATGACAAGCGATACGTTGCGCCCGATTCTACAGAAACGCTGCCATGGGGACATTATAAAATACCATTGTAAATATTTTTTTAATTCATTTTATTTTTTAATCAACATAGATATATTTTATCCACATCGATTATAATAAATGTATACCATTGTAAAACATGTATAATAAATGTATGCCATTGTAAATATTTTATCATTTATTTTTATAAGACATGTAATCAACATAGATATTACAATAAATGTATGTTTACAAAACATTACCCGTGCATATCCATGAATTATGTGATTTATCAAGTCCCAGCCATTTCACGTAAACCTCATTTCCTCTTTTCCGCAACACTTTCTCAACGAGGTACACATCGGGATTAGCTACGCAATGCAACTCGTGTTCATAGAATCCTCCAGCGATGGGTTTTCCACAGGAATTCTCCAGTATATACGTTACGGGATTAGTTTTCTGCACTTTGCCGATTTTAAACACCTCCGTCGACCAATTTGGTGTGTAACCTTTTTCAAAGACGGTCTTAAATTTACTCACGCGTACAGGGTCACCCAATCTGAATCGCGCGGGTGGAGCAATCTTTATGCCCGTATCACACTAGCGATTGTCGATTACGTCTGCGTTTGCGTTTGCGCTTGCGATTAGATGTTTTTCAATCACACTAGCGACTGCAAGCGAACAACGATTGCGTTTTTTCGTTAAATGCAGATACGTTTTGTAAACGTCACTGTACTGTAGTTTACTGATTGTGTGAAAGATGGATCGGTACAAGAAGAAAAAGAAAATAAGTGCTATTCTAATGTTTTTAGTTTTGAAATCACAGTATGAAAAAGAGAATAAGATACTTCCAGAAAAAAGAATGTGGATTAAATCGTGGAAAACTCGAAGGAAACAGCAAGGTTGTTTTCATAACCTTTTTATGGAGTTACAATTAGAAGATCCAGAGAAATATCGAAGGTAGATATGAAATCTTTCCTCTTGAATATGTATATGATTAACAAAATATGAAAATGTAATTTTACTACAATTTACTAATTTCTTTCAATAAGTAATGCTCAATTTTTTTCAGATGTCTTCGTATGACTGCAGATATATTTGAAGATCTTGTGGAAAAATTGAGCCTACTAATTAAAAGACAAGATACTCATCTCCGAGAAAGTATTTCACCTGCAGAAAGGCTTGTTGTGACATTACGTCATTTGGCAACAGGTTGTTAAGCAAGTCTCTTTCAAGCAACCCAACAAACACAGAATATTGCGGCAACGTTCTGTGTTTGCTGAGAAGTAACTATTATTGTGTAATACCTATTTTCCTATTTTCCGTTATATAACAATTCTGCTATCATTTGTAGGCGAAACTCAAGAATCATTATCTTACAGTTTTCGTCTTGGACAAAGTACTATATCTGGGATTATAAAGGACACTTGTCGCGCCCTCATTTCTGTTTTGCAAGAAAAACATCTTAAATTTCCCGACAGTGAATTGGCTAGGAAAGTAATTGCCCATGATTATATGGATAGATGGAATTTTCCAAATTGCTTGGGTGCCATGGATGGCAAACATTGTTTGATAGATCCTCCACTTCAGTCTGGTTCTTCATATTTTAATTACAAGGAAAAGTTCAGTATTGTTCTTTTGGGGCTTGTGGATGCTGAACTCAGATTTATATTTGTTGATGTGGGCACAAATGGACGAGTATCTGACAAAGGAATATGGAACAAATGTGCTCTGAAACATCATTTGGAAAAAAATGATATTAACCC